GGAAGATGCTTGCCGTCCAGCAGGGAGGACGCTGAGGTCCAGAGAGAGGTCATGGGCCCCACACTGGCCTCAGCCTCGAGGCCCAGGCAGCTGTCCACCCAGTACCTCCTCTCCTTCCCAGAGGCTGTAGGGCCAGGGGCCTGGTCTTTGATGGGGGGCGGGGGGGGGTGTTGATGGAGGCTCTGAAGGCCACCCCACCCTGGGCAGGGCCTCTTTGGGCTGGAGCCTGCATAATTGGGGACCTCTGTGAAAGTCAGATGGAAGCTTCAGTGCCGTTTCCAAGCTCCAGACAATGTAATCGGGGCAGACTCCATCCTCTTCACTACAGGCGTGGGTCCTAGCCCATCTCTCAGGCCAGGAGAATCTTGTTCAGATGCTTCGGGCTTGCATGAGAAGGACGTCCCTGCTTTATAGTCCTGTGGCCTCAGCAGGTCCCGGGCACTCGGCCCAGGCCGGTCCTCGGAGGGGAGAGCACGTAGCGCGGGCCAGGCTGGACATGTAGCTGCCTGGGCCCTGCGGTGCCAGGCCTGCCTCCTCCTTCTGGGAGCCGCTGGGAGCGATGAAGCAATAAAGCAGAGCCAGACATGGCCCTCGGGCGGGCGAGGCGGGCGAGGCGGAAATCGGGGTTTGAACCGTATCTGCACTTGACAGCCGGGGACCTCAGGTGGGCAGCATGCTGCTCCTCCCCTGCTCCCGCCTCTCGTTTGCAAAGTGGGGAGAACCAGTTTCTGCCTCTCCAGGCTCCAGGGAAGCCGTGCAGGCGCTGGGCAGGGTGGAGGGGCCCCCTGGCACCCACAGCCTGTGCCCCCTTGGTCTGGGCCCTGAGTCAGAGCGTGAGTCATGCTGCTTCTTGCCACCAGGGAGCCACCTGGGCCGCCGCCGTCCAATTACTCAGCGCTCGGCCCTGCATGCCACCTGGGGACCCACGTTACTGTGGAGGGACGCTCAAACTGCCCGCTCAGGATCGGGGTGCGTGCGTTGGGGTGCAGCAGTTCCCCGCGGCCCTGGAGATGCTCTCGAGAGCACCCCGGTGGCGAGGTCGGTCTTCCTGAGCTTTCCTCCCAGGGACCCGCAACAGAAAGCTGGGCTCTGGGATTAACCCGCTTGGTGTTCGAATCCCCGCGCTGCTATGCACCCGCTGTGTGACCTGGGCCCCCCACAGTGGGTGCTGGTGCCTGGACCCCTCCCCCCCAGGAAAAGGACAGACACCAAGAACCAACGCCTGCCCCCGAGGACAGCAGAGGCCCGAGCTCTGCCGCTCTCCCTCTTTGGGACCCCACCCTTCCTGGGTGCTCCTGGCCTCGGGCAGCCCACAGAGGCCCGGGCTGTCACTCCCGCGAGTTCAGGGAGGACGCAGGCGGTCTGGCCGCCCAGGGATTGGGGGGCCCAGGAGAGGAGGGCCATGGCAATCGTGGCTTCAGAGAAATGGTCTCCGGCTGATGCGGATTAACCTCGCAGGCCCGGGCTCTCCCAGGTGCGCCTCCCACACCTGTGCATCCAGAGCCCATGATTCAAGGCAGCAGGCCCTCCTCTTCCCGCCAGAGCCGGCTTCCAACCACCACAGATTTCCCAGCCAGGACGTCTCTCCTGACACTCGGCTCAGTTTCAACCCATTGCTCCTCGTTACTCCCCTGAACTGCTCTGGATAAAACTTCACCTCCTCCACGCCCGGCCTCAGAGGTTTGCGAGGAGACTCATTTCCTGGCTCAGGGACAGGCCATCAGTCTTCTTAATCCGTCCTCACAAACCAGCCACCCGGGACTCCCGCGCGCCCCACTGCCCCCTCCGGCCCTGGGTGCTCTGGGCACTTCTCAGGGGCCGCACAGGCCTGCGGCATCGCCCTCCCTCCCCCTTGCGGGTGGGAGGGGTCACAGGGCTCTGCAGGAGCCTCGCAGGCAGCCTGGCAGCTGCCTCTCCTGTCAGCAGGGCCTTCTCCTGGAACGAAGCGTCTTAAGCTTGTCGGGCTCAATTGTCCATGGCGTCCCACTTAATCCTGCCGCCAGAAAACGGACAGCTTCAGGGGAGAGGAGGAGCGAGGAGGATTTTTTGGGACCCTAAACCAATCCTTAAGGGACATGGCCTTCGGGGTGGAGGGTTTGGAGGAGGAAGGGCAGCTAGAAGAAGCACCCTGGGGCCTGTGACCTCATTTTTTAGAAAAAGTCCCCGGGCTGTAGCCCCTGGGGAGCCCTGTTTGTCCCAAGCAAAGGGCCGTAGGATGGGCCTCGTCCAGCACCAGGCCTGATGCACAGGGTCACCCAAGAAGGCCTGCTAAGAGTTGGAGGAGATAATGCTGGCTCTGGTGAAGAGAAAGTGTGTGTGTGTGTGCATGCATGCATGTGTGTGCATGCATGTGTGTTCGTGTGTGTATGCATATGTGTGTGTGCATGCATGCGTGTGTGTGTGTGAGTGTGTGTGATTTCTGGCAGGGCAGGGCCCAGAGGTATCTCTGACTTCCACCCCCACCCAAAGACCTACTGGCTGCAGTATATACCCTTGAAGGCTTAGAAAGTCAGTCATTCAAAATTGATTTACCACCTGCTCCGCTCTGAGCAGGTAGCGGTGAAAAGGCGGAGACAATGATGAAAACGCAGTCCCTGCGTGATGAGGTGTGCCTGCTGGAAGGCTTCCTGGAGGAGCTGCCAGCCCTGCCACGGACGGAGAGACGTGGGATCATTAGGCTAACACGATGGTTCTCCGAGGTGCTCTGGGGCCAGCGGCGCTTGGGGACTTGGAAATGCAGACTCTCCAGCTGCAGCTGCGTGGACTCGGGGTGGGGCTCAGCGCCCTTCAGATGTGTGTGCATGCATGTGTGTGTGACCGGCCCCGAGGAACCAACATGCTGGGAATTCTCTCCTTTGGCCGAGTCTGGGCTCTCCAGGCTCCCGTCCAGGCGTTCAACCGTCCTTCAGGTGGACAGTGCGCACTTGGGCACAGGCAAAGCAGAAAACAGTTTTTCAAAGAATTTCATATTCCGTGTTTTTCCCAAAAGCATCAAAATAGGCATCATGGAAAATACCAGAACCAAGGTTATGAACATGTTATCGTTTCAGCCCCCAACGAGACGGTATTAGAATTGCTCTGTAACGTCAGCGTACGTCTAGGCTTCCCCGCACCCCGGGCCCGTCTTGGCCCTCCTGCTCTTGCCTCCGGGGCTCCTTCCTTCAGGAATCACCTCCCTTTACTAGTAGGAGCGGCTCCGTGAGGGGCACTGACACCGGCATGGTCCTGGCTTTGTCTGAGACGTCTCCATCTTGTTCTTGAGAAACATTTTTACTCGGTATCGATTCCAGGTGGACAGGTCATGTATCTGTTACTATTTGATGATATTGCGTCCCGGCTCCTGGCCTCGGTTACGCTGAACGGAGTTTGCCTTCCAGCGACTTGCCATTCCCGGGAGGGTCCGTCTGTCTCTTCCTCCGGCTTCTTGTGAAATCTCCTCTGTGGCACTGAGATGGGTCCACGTGGGGGTGGTTTTCTTTATCCCTTGCTAAGATTCAATTGTGTGCCCTGATCTGAAATTCATGACCTTTATAAATTCTGGAAAAGCCTCAGCCATCGCCTCCTTGAATAATGACTCTGGCCCGTTCTCTATTCTCCCGCTGGAACTCCAAATAGATGTGCATTTTTCTCCTCACGCCCACCTTCTCCTCGTTTCACCCCCGTTTCATATCTTCTTCCCCGGCCCTGCATTGTGCATCCTGCTAATCGCTTCCGCCGCATCTTCTGGTTCCGGGATTCCCTCCTGAACTGTCTGTGTCTGCGGCTCGACCTACCCAGTGACTTTCACGTTTTAGTTATTACAGTTTCCACTTCCAGAGGCCCTACTTGCTTCTTTTCCATCTCTCTCTGGTATCGTCTTTGTTTCCTCATCCATGTTCTCAGTTCTTCTCTCTTTAGAAACATCTTTACCTCGTTTTTATTCTAGTGCTGCCCATGCAAACATCTGAAATCGTTGGGGCTGGTTTTGCGGGGGCGGTCGGCCGACTGACTCGCATGGCTGCTCCCTCCTGTGCTTTGCCGTTGGAGCCTGTGGGCCTGCTGGTCTTCGGAGCGACCCTGACCCGGGTGGGCTCCGGCCACGTGTCCCAGTGCGCCAGCCCGACATCCCTTCAGGTTAATTTCTTGGCTTGGGGTTTTCTGGACCCCACATCTGGACCTCGGCTTACAAGTGTGGGCCTCAGCACGAGCGAAGGGCAGCGTAAGCAAACGCTCCCGTGAAGGGGGCTCCCATCCCGGCACTGCCGTGGCCGGGGCACAGGGTGCCTCGCTCTCTCTTCGCTGGAGCGCTGGGGTTTATAAGCCACCCTTACACTCGGTACCACTTTGAAGGTCCCAGCTCCCATGGAGGCCTCACTTCCTACGCCCAGTCTTGTATGAGCTCAAGGTAAAATGACGTCTTCGTTCCTGCATCGTGTTAAAACCCCAGGTTCCAGGTTCCCGTGATGGGCAGCTCCCTCGGGGCAGCCGTGGTCAGCATGTGCTTCCTGGTCTGGTGTCCCTAGTTTCTCGGGAATTTCCCGTGGTTCCCTGCCAACTTAGCTGGTCATGGAATGAAGACGTTTGTGGTAACTGATCCTACATGTTTAAGTGTTTTGTAGCAGGAGTGTCTCCTCCGTTACCCCTGCTGCCCCCAGAAGATCTGACTGCAGCAGAATAGCTTTTGCTGGTCCCCAAACAGTTCTCCTTCCTTTGGGGTTCACAGCTAGATCACACCCCCAGCCCCACTCCCCACCACACACAGCCAAGATTGCTCACATGACTGCGTTCTGTCCGGTGGGACCTGTTTGAGGTCAGGCCATTGAAACCTCCCCCACGATCCACAGGATGAAGATGGAGGAGCCACTGGATGGATGCACCCGGATCCCTCATCGCTGCTGGGAGGAGAACTACCTTCGGCTTCAGACTTTCCACGAGCAGGACAAAGGCCGCTGGGGTGTGGGGGTTCCCTGCTGTGGCAGCCAGCGCTGTTTGAGAGTACACCGGCCCCCATGCTGCCGGAATCAGTCCCGCATATAGTTGTTGCGCCGTTTGGTGTTACACACAGGATCTCCGCAGGGCTCCTGGCTCTCAGGAGGTGGGACCACGGTCCCAGAGCCCAGGGGCTCGCTGGCGTGGCAAATGGGATGATGGTCCAAGAAAGATCCTTCTCCCCTTCCCCGCCTGGTCAGCACCCTGGGCCGGCCACCGAGTCCCCAGACCACTCAGACGTGGCCCTGCTCTCAAGGAGCTCCTGGGGATCGAGGGCACAGGCACAGACACAGGTGACCCCCGGGCGAGGAGGTGATGGCTGCGGTGGGGTTCGCGGCAGGGGCAATGGCCCGTTGAGGCTGAGGTTCAGGGCCGCACGGGAGACGGAGAACCAGGGTGGCCTTGCCCCAGCCGAGCAGGTGGGATTCGGGGGCAGCAGCCGGAGGGGCCCAGCACGTGGCCCAGAGCTGGCGCAGGGCACAGAGCATCACGTCAGCCCACGGCGTGCCTGCCACACTCCCCGTTTCCCGCGGCCTGGACCGGCCCCTGACCGTGAGGGGGGCCTATTTTGGTCACTGCACTGACTCCTCCTTTGCACCTCCCTCCCCTGGTCACCCCGTTTTAGAGCAGAGCCTCTGGGTTTTTAGGGGTCAAGAGCGTTGGGAAGGCTGTGATGCAGGTTCGCCCACTCCCTCAGAAGCCCACAGACTTCCAGGCAGAGTAGCTTATGTCACCATGTTCTCCTTGGACGGGAGGAGCCAGCCAGGAAGAGGACAGGCCTTGCAGTCGCTGGTCAGGGCTGGAGTCACGTCACCTCTCGGAGCCCCAGCCCCTGGTCCACGGAGTGGGAATGACAGGGTCCACGTCACCGGCTGGTGCGAGGGTGGAGGGAGAGCAGCCCAGGGCACTGCAAGGCTCACCGCGCACTGCGGGCGTGGTGCGGTGGTTACAGCGGCAGCCCATGTGTCGAAGGGTTAGGGTTCGATTCCCTGTCAAAGAGCACACCTGGGCTGCAGGTTCCTTCCTGGGTCCCAGTCAGGCATGTGAGGGAGGCAACCAATCAATGTGTCTCTCTCCCTCTCTCCCTCCCTCCCTTCCACTCTCTCTAAGAATCAATGGGAAAATATATCCTCGGGTGAGGATTAACCCCCCAAAAAAGTACTCCCCCAGCACCCGTCCCTCTTCCCAGCTCCGTATCCCCACCTCCTACTCCCCTCCCCACATCTGCCCTCACCTGCAGAAGCCTGGGGGGGGCGGGGGCACAGGACCTGTAACAACTAGCATTTTCCCAGGGGGTGAGGGACGTTAGGGCAGTGGTCAGAGAAGGTGACCAAGTGGTGGGCAGGGTGTCGGGTGGGGGCAGCACGGGCTCCTGGACCATGCTCTCCACCGTCCTCTCTTCCTGCTCCTCACGGGCAGAAAACTGGGCTTCAAAGGCATGATTCCAGGCGCTGGTGCTCTCACTCAGGGAAGCCTGGCCTGTGTCCCATCGACACTGCCAGGAGCAGGGCTCGAGGCCTAAACTGAGTGGCCTCTTTCCTGGTGAAGAGAAGGACTGGGCGAGGCCCTGGGGACCTGGGGCTGTGATGTGTAGTCCCTCTATGCCAGTCACTGCCGATGGGGGACCCGGCCACGTGGGAGTGAGGTCCCAGAAACCCCCGGCCAGGCGTCGGAGCAGCAGGCCTGGAAGAGAGGAGGCCAGCCTCTAAGGAAGGACAGGCCCGCAGCGACGGTGCCTCCGTGCTGTGGGGTCACCCCACCTACTGCACCTGCTCTGGGGGCGGGGGGCGGGGGGGAGCAGGGCCGCCTAAGGCTCCACAGCCTCCCCCTGCTACAATAGCGGAGCCTGCACAGACACAGCCCTGGAGAAGGCAGCCACTGTCCCTGATTTCACCCACGCGGCCGGTTGCATCTCTGCTTCAGAGATTGGGAAACTGAGGCACAGAGGGGAACGACACCCCCAGGCCGACACAGCTCACCCCTTCTGAGCACTCGTACCCGGGGGAATCCCAACTTTGCAGCTTTCTTGATGCATGACATGGATGGATCGACTCACGTATGCATCAGTTTCCCACCTTGAAATTAGGAACCAGCATCGCGCCCTGGTGTGCTGGCCGTAAGGATGAAATGAGGTAACACATGTGTGAGAGCCTCATCAGATGCTTAGCCCGTAATAAACCTTGATTGCAATTATTATCAGACCACAGTGCCATTATTCTAATCTCCTCCCATTAAGCACTCTGTGAGTATTTGCAAAGTAAGTAATTCTTCCAACATTTCATTATGAAAATTTCAAACACACGGTGAAGTTGAATTTGTAGTGACTACCCATATACTGTAATGGCAGACTTCTACCATTTACATTTCATAGCACTTGCTTTATCAATATCCACCCATCAACCCACCTTATTTTTTGACATCAGTCCAATTTCTCCCTAAACAATTTAGTGTTTACTGTTTTGCATATAAAATTTACATATAATGAAATGCACAAATCTTGAAAGTCAGCTGTTGAATTTTGACAAATGCTTGTGCCTGTGTAACACAAGCCCCTATCACAATAAAGGACGTTGCCTTCCTTCCAGAACGTTCCCTCGGGCCTCTTTCTCTCAGTCCTGCCCCTGCTCCCAGGAGGCAAGCACCCTTCTGATTGTTTCCCATCATGCACTCTTCTCACTAACCTTGCCTGTTGTAGAATTTTACCTATGACAGGACATGATTTCATAACACGGTACAGTTTGTACTTGTATCAGTTATCTATGGCTGTGTAACAAGTCACCCCAAAATTAGGCAACTTAAAACAACAACTCTTACGATTTCACGGTTTCTGTGGGTTGGGAACCAGTCATGGCTTAACTGAATCCTCTGGCTTGAGGGGTCCCAACTCTGCAATTGACGTGTTGGCTGGGGCCACATCTCGTCTCCAGGCTCGGCCGAGGGAGACCTGCTAGTGTTGGCGGCATCAGTTGCCCTGGGTTGTGGCACTGAGGGCCTCCCCGGGGCAGGAGACATGTTCAGTTCCTTGTCATGAGGGCGTCTCCATGTGCATGGCAGGCGGTTTCCAACAGAGCAAGCGAGTGAGAGGAGTTGGGGTGGCCAGGTGAACGGGCAGAGCGTGTGCCCGCCTGTGCGTCTGATGGCCTGGGCACGCCACCTCCCCTCATAGGCTTGCCAGATGCAGCAAATAAAAGTGTGAATTTCAGACGAACCAGGGGTAACTTTTTAGTGCAGGTCCCAAACATTGCATGTGACATACTTACACTGAAAAATGTGCTTGTGGTTGATCTGAAATGCACATTTAACTGCGTGTCCTATTTTATCTGGCAACTCTACTCTGAGGAGTCGCAAGGCCTTTGCATGGCTGTCTCCCTCTTGTCCTTTGGGCCCCAGCTCAAATGACCCCTCCCCCGTGAGGTCTTCCCTGAGAAGGACCCTGTGAAAGGACCTCCCCCTCTTCCCCTGAGTCACTCCCCACATCACCTGCTCCATTGCCTTCCGGGGACTCCCAGGCTCTGATGTGTCTGTTTGCTGTTTCTTACCTGTCTCCTGCTCTGAAATACAGGTTCATGAGCTCAGGGACCTGTTGCTGCTGTAACCTTAGCACCTAGCATAGGCCTAGCACATAGTAGGTGCTCAACAAATGTTTATTGAAAAATGAAAGGGATGCCTCCCTGGGGAGCGCGAGAAGATGTGGGGGCGCTGAGCACTTGCTGGTTCTGCCTACCCCACCTGCTCCCACCAGTGACTTGCCCATCTCCTGTGAGGTTCAGGGGCAGAGCTGAGCCCAGCCCCTCCCCACAGGACCAACCAGCCTCTGGTCCACAGATTCCCACGATAGCCCAGTTACCATGGCAACAGCAACCCGAGTTCACGGTGCTGGGAACAGGAGGACGCCTCTCTCCTGGAATGCCACCCCTGAGTCAGAATCTAATTTTCATCACAGCCATAAAAGTAGTTCTGCATAATCGTACATATATTAATACCGAACACGCCAGTGTTTATTTGGTTAAAATTCATGAATTCAGGTCTAAATAAAAAGTGCTGGTGGCTGAAGTTTTTCATTTCCTTTAAATGTTCCTGGGTGCTTTTTTAAAGTCAGTCACTCCCGTTGGCAGCAACTTGCTTTTAATCCCATTGTTAACGGGTGAGGGAGGCCAAACAAAACAGGTTGCACCCAGGGGCGGTGACTGCAGCGGGAGAGCTGGGCGCTCACTCCCCACCCCCCCTGGAGGGGCGGTGTGGACACCAGTCACCCCAGCACCTCCTTCCTGTGTGCCCTGCGAGCACAGTGCCACCTCTCTGGGCCTCAGTTTCCTCACATAGATAAATGGGGGAGAGGCGTCATTGGTCTTGAAAATCCCTTTGGCTTCCAAAACACAGACCCATCGCTGACTTTTGCTGAGGCTCAGCCCTACAGTAGGCCCTGGGCTTGGAGGAGGGACCATGGTGGCTGCCCTTGGGCTCTGGGACTCAGTCAGGAGACAGACAAAGCCATGGGAATCTGGGAAGGCTGCCCGGAGGAAGTGACATTTAAGCTGAGACCTGAAGGGACAATTAAACATTAGCCAGAGGAAAGGGGGAAAGGAAGGAAGGGAGCAGGGGAGGCTAGAGTGGGCCTGGTTTGTAGGACACTAGGGCCAGTTTCGGGCCTTTGGGGCCAAGGAGGTATTTAAAAAGGGTTGGGAACAGAGAGAGTGAAACCGTTGCCCAGACACAGTGAAGAGGCTGCCATTGCAAGGCCTGGGCCCCCGAGTTCAGGCCGGGCCATCAGAATACGGCTGATTCCATGGGCTTTGCCTGACTGTCAGGAGAGAAGCCCTCCTTCACTTGGGGGCTGGTGGACAGGCCTGAAGCCGGGGCTGCTGGTGGCCACAGGAGAGGAGGGAAGCAAGCATAGACGGAAGGAGAGCCAAGAGGCGGGAAAGACTGTGTCCTAAGTGACAGCTGGAGCCCTTGATCCAACTGTACCTGAAGCCAGACCACCTCAGGGCTCTTTACCAAGTCATGTCCTTCTTGTTTTTCTTTCTTCCCTCCCTTCCTCTTCTCTCTCTGGCCCTTCCTTTTATTCTTAAGCTCCTTTGAGTTGTTTTTTTTGTTTTGTTTTGTTATTTGCAGCCGAGAGAGTCCTGATAATACCCATAATACAAATTCAGGAAATAGTGCCAAAGAGAGTAGGTTATGATTCCCGTGTGACCCATCACCCAGGTCCAGCATCTTAGCTGCAGAACCAAAGTGTGAGAGCCAGGCCCTGCCTCCTCCCCAGCCCAGCAGCCTCTGACCCATACCCCGGCCATGAGAGGTCCCTGCCATGGGCACTTGTCTAGGTCCCAGACACCCCAGGCCCCAGCCTGGGCTTGAAGGAGGACCCCACCTCTGGGAAACCCCCCAGCTCAACACCCACCTGCGGAAAGAACAGCACAGACGCAGAGGAATTCTGAAATAGGCTTCTGGGTTTTATTCGGAACAACACTGGTGGCGGCTGCCACAGGGCTCCTCTGTGCCCAGGCCATCTGGGCCAGCAGGGACCAGCGCCATCAGCAACTAGGAGGGAGGTTCATTCACACCATAGAAACTGTACAGCAACTGGGAGTGCAGTAGTCACAGCAGCAGAGCCAGGCTGAGGGCTTCCCGGAAGAGGTGGCTTCTGCCTCTTCCTCCGGCCCCAGCTCAACCCGGCTCCACCAGAAACACTGATTATTGCACAAAGACAAAGAGAGTATGTGTAGCGGCTTCTAAGACCCCAAGCCCTTACACAATGCAGCAAAGGGGACCCTGGAAACGAGGCTCCGGGGAAAGGACCTGAAGGGAAGACAGCAGACGGACTGGCACTGTGCGTACTGCGCCTTCTGGGGTGCTGCCTGGTGCAGGGGGGCGGACGACAGAAGAGGCTTTGGCTGGGGTGGACCACACCCCTGGCTGGTCGTGGGTCCATCTGTGCAGACACTAAGGTGCCTGCCAACCCCCACTCTGCAGAGCCCTGCAAACAGACAGCGTGGGGAGCTCCACACCAGCGTCCCCACTTGCCCCAGGGCCGGGCCTGTGGGGATGAGGGCAAGTTTGTGCTTTTGTGACGGACAGGCCGTAGGATCAGGAAGGGCCAAGGGGCCATCACCTAACCCTGCCCATTGCAGCTTGTCCTGGCCAATCACCGCTTCTGTGCCCCAGGCCTGGGAACAGCACTGGGCCTCCAGGAACCAGACCCGTCTCCCATGACTCCCCAGGCGAAGCTCCTCTCCTCTAGGCTCAGCTAGTCCCACCCTCGGACACGTCTGCTCTCTCATCCCTTCCCTGGTGTGTGCGCACTGCTCTGGGCCACCGTGCCTATCGAACAGGGCGACGCCTGTGCCCAGAAAGAAGCTGCTGACCAGTGTCCATGCCGTCCGTCCCCTGAGCCCAAGCCCAGTCACCCACTTACCCCAGACAGGAGCCCACTGCCCTCCTCCAGGCTCCGGCACACGGGTTCCTCCAGGAACATGCTGGCTAATGTGTGTGCTG